TTACACAGACCCTCTTGTTTCTGGAGAAGACCTTCTTCTGCGTCTCCCTTCTTTTGACCAACTAGTGACACCAGTAAACGGTGCTTACTTCTTAATTATTGCAGTAGTAATCTTTGCGGGGTCGTGGGCCTGCTGCAAGTTTAGGAGGAGACATCCAGGTGGCATCCCATATCAAGAGCTTGAAATGGCACTGCCAGAATCTTCCTCGGCTGTGAACGTCGAAACTGCTGAAGGTTGGGATCAGGGTTGGGATGATGACTGGGATGAAGAAAATTCTGTGAAAACGCCAGGGGGACGCCATGTTGGAAGTATCTCGGCTAATGGGCTTACTGCTAGACCCTACAAAGATGGGTGGGAGAATGATTGGGATGTTTAGTTAATGAAGCAGCCAGGGAACAAAACTTGAGGTCTTTCAACAATTTGATCAGTAGTTGGTGACAATGTGAAGCATAATGTTGCCACTGAGGTTACTTAATAGCTGAATGTTAACCTTCCTCCCACTGCTGATTAGATTGTAGAGTTAGTAGCTGTCGCATATTCGATCAGAAGCCTAAAAATTCCGGTCTATACAAATTTTTGGGTTTGTTTAGGTGGGATGTAGAATGCATGTCTTCTTATGCCTTGTTCAATTTTTACTTCTTTAAGAATACAGTTACGATTTTTTTATATGATAGCTTTACAAAATATAAATTTTCATGAGAGCTTTTAAAGTTATGATGGTGTCTGCCAATGCAAAACCTTGCAAAGAGAACCGTAAAACAATACAATACATGTTCATGTGGCGTGGTGTGTGTATCTTTTTGAGAATTTGGAGCAGGTACTCTCTCTCTCTCTCTCTCTCTCCCTCTCTAATCTGTGAAAGAATTTAGAGCAGACACTCTTCTGCATTACATATTTTGTATTGATGACTGGAAGGCATTGGATATCATGTACTGTGACGCCTGAATTTCATTTACCTCCGCGTGGTTCTTCTTTTTAGATGCATGTCGGGAGTAATTTAGAAATTTGTCTGTTGTCTCTCACTGAAGCAAAAAAGTGGAGAAAGGAAGGCTGATTCAATCATTTTTGTTTTCTACATTCTGCCCTCTTTTATAGCTTTGAATTCTTTTTTTGCTTGTTAGTTAATTCTTTTTTCCTTCATAAATGAAGTGTTGATCATTTCAGCTACTTATCTTAACGAGGTATGTTTTCTCCAGAACCAAAATTATGATTATGGACATGTTATTATCACTTCTCCTCTACTCAACTCATTCACTTGTGGATGATTCCTTTTATGTTACAGGTGGTGTCCTTGGTAATTCAACTTGGGACGAGTATTGATACATGATAACTCCTACCATGATTTCAATGAACAGTATGTGTAGATTAAGCTTTTGGTTGCCCCTGCATTAAGGAATCAAAATAAAGTAAAAGAGGGGAATAAAGACGGGTCCCCATGGCCACGCAAGAAGGAAAAGGCATCACTATTTTAAAGGGTTGCAAGTGCTAAGGAGGACCCGCATGTGAATGGGGGCATTGATTAATATGATTATATTTAAGGCATTTTAATGGGTTCACACTGCACTAGGGGATGTCAGGTCTACAGTCATTTAATTATCTTAAACTTGACGTCCAAGTCTTAATAATTATTAAACATGGCTGCCAATGCCAAACTCCAAAGCAGAGGGAGGGCTTGCCTTGCATTCATTGTAAGATGTGGGAAGCTCCACAAAGAAGCTGAGAATGAGTTGGTTCTATCATTAGCATCGCTACATTAGAATAAGATACTAAAGATAGCAGTCCAAACCCCATCTCACTCAACTCTAATTAAATAAAGCTAAAGACACACTACTTTTGTATCTTTCTTTGTTCCTCACTGTAGAATCAAATTGTTTAAAGCAAAAGCATTCAGTCCTCATCTTTTGGAAGATTTAGATATGGTGCAAAGTGCAAACTAGGATGCTATCTATATATCAAGTATGTTACATGGAAACTTGAGATAACATACATTCCAAGTCTTACATTGACAACGAATACGGCATAGGAAACAAGAGATAGTTTCATAAGCATGTTTGAAGGCGTATAACTTATGGAATTGATATGTTATGCTTCGCGGTGAAAGTCAATATGATGGTATGGTGGAAATCTAAGACAATGAATAAAAGAAATACAAAAAAGATTACAACGAAACAGATTGAAATGGAAAAGGAACTCAATTCTCCTCCATGTATTTCATGTCTTTTCTTTTTTATAATTTGGTGAAAACAAACCGAGAAAATGCATACATCTCTTTTGGTGGTCAGTTTCATTCCAACTCCTCGTCGGCTTCGGAGGGGGATTGGATCAACTCTAATATATTGACAACCTCATTCATGTCTGGCCTGTTTGATGGTACTTGAGATGCACATATCAAACCCAGTTTAATTACAGGAATGGCCTCTTCGACACGGAAGTTTGATCGGAGCCTCTCGTCCACACACTGCTCGACTGTGCCTTCATCTAAAGCCGCCCTCACCATATCACAGAGCACTATAACATCATCTTCCATGTACTCCACAGGTCTTTTTCCTGTCACCACTTCCAAAACCAAGATACCAAAACCATACACATCACACTTTTCAGTTATAGTCACTGTTTTGCAGGCAAACTCTGGAGCCATGTATCCCAAAGCACTTTGGATTTTACTGCTTAAAATGCAGCGGTCTAACATCGGCAACAACCTTGCCAAGCCATAGTCCCCCACTTTTGGCTTACCAGAACTGTCTATCAAAACATTGGTTGACTTCAAATTGTAATGAATTATATTATTGCGGTGCAAATAAGCCAATCCTTTGGCCATCCCAAGAACAATCTTGAACCTCTGCTGCCAAGACAAACAATTGTCGCCAGTTCCATCATGTAAATGCTTATACAAACTTCCATTCGGGACATATTCATAAATGAGAAGTTGCAAGGAGGTTGTCCAGTAATACCCTTCAAGCGCCACAAGATTGCCATGCCTCATCTGTCCCAGCTTCTTTACTTCATTCTCAAAATCTTCTCGCGACTTGATCAAGCCCGTGACTGTTAGCTTCTTGATTGCAACTAAACACCCGTCTCGAAGCACTGTTCGGTAAACAACTCCGAACCCACCCCGACCAAGTTCACAGTCCTTGTTCAGCAATGCTTGGGCACCAACTACGAACTCTGCATCTCCAGAAAACATGACGAGTTTTCCATAGTCTGGATTAGTTTTGGGGGAGCAGCTGAAATCCTCCCCAGCAGATAATGCAAGAGCAGCAGAACGCGACTGCGAAGACCTCGCACGGATATTGAGGATAGTTACAGCTACTACACCAAGTAAGATGAAAGAAGCAGCACCAATAGCAACAATGGAAGATATGCTGAGTATAATATCATGATGATACTTGTGAGAGGGGGAACTGCCATTAGTATCAGAAGAGTTCGGGTTTAGGACGATAGGCTTCGGATGCACGGAGGGGCAGGACCTATTGACAATGGCACCGCAAAGAGATGGGTTAAGTGATATAGACAAGGGAGATATAGTGTTGAAGAAGCCCCCAACTGGGAGTTCGCCCTCAAGATGATTGTGGGAGATGTTAAAGGAGAGGAGGTGGGAAAGATTAGTGAGCTCCTTGGGCAAGCTTCCAGAGAGCTTATTGAAAGATAAGTCCACATTTTCAAGGTTGGAGAGATTCGCAACAGCAGCAGGAATTGGGCCTGTCAGGTTGTTGTGGGAAAGAATCCTGCATTATATTCACAACACACAAGTAGCACATATTATTAGAACCATCCTGGGAGGTAACACTGAACATTAGACAAAGAAAATATGAAGCCACTGCGAATCTTAGCATATTAAATCTACAGTAGTTGCAAAGTAGGATGCTTTCATTGTAGCCAATTTATGTCTTCTGAGGTCAACACTGAACATAAAGCTCAACAGTTTCACATATTGGTCCTAAGTTAAAATTCAAGAAGTATATTATGAAAAAGGAAGTGTAGAATTGTATAGAAGTTCATGAACTCTGTTGACCGACTGAAAACGAAACGATTTTGTAAAGGAGAAAGAAAGCCAACTTTCAAAGATGTTAATGAGAGAGAGAGAGCTTACAATGATGTTAAGAAGGAGCATTGGTCAATCTTGATTGGAATTTCCCCAGTGAGGAAGTTTTTCTCGAGCCTCAACTCCTTGAGCGAAATTGCTCCTCCAATTTCAGCAGGAATACTTCCATTTAATTGATTGCCACTGAAGTCAAGGGCATACACAAATTTTAGTTTACCAACGCTCTGTGGAATAGAACCCACCAGATGGTTTCTGGATATATTCAGCAACTGCAAGTTACTAACTTCTCCAACATTAGATGGAATGTGACCAGAGAAAACATTTGAAGATAAATCTAAAACTTGAAGACCCTCAACAGAGGTTGGAAATGATGCGTTGGCAGAAAGCTGAAGGCTTGGCATAGCTGCCCCAAAAATCCATGAAGGGAGATTTCCACTCAAATGGTTATGGCTAGCATCAATGCTCAAAAGGTTAACACAATTTTCCATGGATTCTGGCAAGTTTCCACTTAAGTAGTTCGTGGATACATTAAACTTCTTCAACAATTGAAGGTTGCCTATTGAACTTGGGACCTGACCAGAAAAGTTATTGGCAGAAAGATCCAAAGTCTCGAGGTTTTTAAGCTCCCCAATCCAACGAGGGACTTCACCCGTGAAAGAATTTCGTCGTAAATTCAGATAAGTGCAGGAACTGAGCATCTGCATTGACTCTGGAAGACCCCCAGAAAGGATATTATCACTAAAATCGATTGATTTTAAAAGTAAGCAGCCACCAATATCCTCAGGGAGCTTTCCAGAAAATCGATTCTTCTGTAAGTAAACAAATCTCAAATCGTATAAATTTTGAATTCCTGGAGGAATCTGCCCCTCAAGCAAGTTGTCCGAGAGATCCAGGGACTGGAGGCCCCTCAAATACCACAACCCAGAAGGCAATTTCCCAGATAGGTGGTTGGATGAGAAGTTGAGAAGCTCCAGAGAGAAGCAAGAGGTTAAGGATTGAGGGATATTTCCTGTGAGGTTGTTTCTGGCCAAGGAAATAACCCGTATAGACCCACATTGCTGGAAAAGTTGTTCAGGAATGGGTCCTGATAAACTGTTACGACTCAAATCAATAACTTGCAAATTTCCCAGATGAGCAAGAGCAGAGTTTATGGTGCCAGTGAAATTGTTGTTGGAAAGTGAGAGAATTTGAAGAAATTGCAACCTCAGAAGGCCACGATCGATGTGTCCAGACAATGAGAATCCATCGAGGACAAGTTCGGAGACCCTATTGGTTTTAGGATTGCATTTGACACCGAACCAGTTGCAGGGATTTTCATCGTCTTCATTCCACGTCACCAGTTTGCCCATGGGATCTTGGAGGCCAGCTTTGAAAACTATGAGGCCAAGAACGTCATCGTTGAAGACAGTATCCAAACAGTAAACAGCAGCAGGAGTTAAGAGGAGAAGAAGGATTAGTTTGAAAAGCATATTTTGTTTTGTTATTCCAATGGAAGGAAGTCCATGAAACAGAAGAATGGGTATGGGAGACAAAGAGGAATAGAACAAAGTTAAAAAGCAAGGACGGGAATTGCGGTGATGCTTTGCTCTTTTCTGTTTTGCCTGAGGATTGTTGAAGAAGAGAGAGCTAAGGGATGGAATACATTAACATGACCCATTGGCAATGGCATGCGTACAAGTAATTAGTATAGGTTGCAGTATTCGTTGAGTTCAGAGAATGGAAGAGAGAAGAAATGATTTATGGAAAGAAGGGCGGTGGAAGAAGGCATTAAATAGAGAGAGAGTGAAGAGTTGGTCGGAGAAAATAATAATTAAAATAAACAAAAATCATACTGTCTGGGGGTTCCCTTTTCATATGTCTGCCAATGCCGAAGAGGGAAAAAGCAAAGCGTTTTGAAAGCTAAAGTGAAGCAGAGAGGGAGTGATGGTGTGTCACTTGTCAGGCATTGGCATTGCTTCTTGTTTACGTGGGGCACAAGCTTTTCATTTGGTTTTCGGTCAAACCACGGCCATAATCCCACGGAGGAACTCGAAGGAAAAGGCAGTGGGAGGGGAACAACCGGGGCTCGCCGTCGCCTCCTTAAAATTTCAAAATTTGTCGCATTGGAGAATTTGTAGTGGCTGTCGCAGAAAATTACATGTCATTTCACAATTAAAACAAACACACTGCCCCAATTTTTGACCTTTTCTTGCAGTTGCAGACTCGAATTCCTTTTGCCCACAAAACCCTAATTCTAATTCATTTTAAACTTAAACCCTTTCTTCATAGCAACTTGATTCTTCCTCTTCCATTCCACACGCTTCCCCTTTATTTATTTAGTTTCGAAGTTTCCACACTGAACATATCTTCTTCCGATGTCTAGTTTTACAAATATTCAAAGGCTCTTCTTATCTCGGTTTACGCAAGGATGCCTTCCCTTGCACATGACTGAGTGGCGTAAATGGCGATTCTTTCACAATAAATAAACAAAATTTCCATGCTTCCCAAATCTAGGCATACGCTGCTCTCCCTTTCTCGAATAAATAAATAAAGCCTTCTTATTTCATAACTAATTTGTTAATTCAGATGATTTCATAAAATTATTTTAAGCCAAGCAGAACACCCATTGATTTATGACCTACAACCAGCTTATTTCTACTGGCACTGATGTTTAGCTTTAACCATTTAGTTAAATTAAAAAAGAAAAGTGAAGTCGGAATAAGTTGCATATAAAAAAAGCCGACGGACAATAACAAAGCTTGATGGCCTTGGTTGTGGGTTTTGGTCTATTATCTTATAACGTACCCATGAGGAGGAAAATGTCTGGAAATTAGTGATTTGGACATTGGGTTTGGGATGGCTGGATAGAGGCAAGGCACGTGGCAACACAAGTCTAAGATATTCATTGGATTACATGCAATGCCAATTTATTTAGATGAAACTCAACCCAAAGTAGTTGATTACTGGGCCATAAAGACCAAGCAATCGCCGTTGAAATTGGCATCCAGCTGAGCTCCTTATTAAGAAAGAGGGCCTCAATCCTCAAGCCTGTCCCCATTTGGACCCTCAAAACTCAAAACTGACGCATAAATAAATATACATTCCAAATCCAGGCTCTGGTTTCCAGACTATAGATGTTTGTTTTCACAAGTGGATGGGAAGAAAAAGGACACATAAAAACCCCAATATTTCCCATATGGCAACAGAACTATAAACCTCAGCTAGCTTGGCTACTACATATAATTTACAACCAACCAACCCACCCACCTGCTCTGCATCAACCTAACATACATATCGTCATCTTCGAACCTCACGTTTCATGAAGCAGTCAGCTCCACAATTGTCCAAAAGCTGAATCTTCCAATGAAGTCACCATTATATCATTCATATGCCTCCACGGGCTACGCGATTAGGAATCTCTCCTTGATTGTCCAAGGGCATATATTGAGCCATGATAGCCCGTATCTCCGAATCCATATACCTCTGCATTTTTTAAATAAAAATAAGAATTTCACCAAGCAAAAATATTTACATCAACGTAAATAAAATGTACCCTCATTCTTAATTTTTTACAGCTTTTTACTATGATTTTCTAGTCACTGTAGGTTCTAGTCACTGTAGGTTGTAAGAATATTCGGTGTTCATACACCTCAATTCTAAACAAGAATATATGAACATAAAATAGGCAATCAAATAGCAGTACCCGGATTCTGTACTTGTAAACTGCATATCCCCCAATACCGGTGATCGCCAACACAAGGATAACAATCTTTACAACGCTCCAGCTAGTCACAGTGTTCCCAATGTTACCTAGTAATATTTTTAATGCAGAACACAGTGAAATTATTCATCAAACGTATAAATGGAGCAACCGATAGCAGCTGTTAACAGAGGATCACAAATAACAGACCGTTCTGTATCATACATGAATCAGTATGCATATAATGTGTATAAAGAAAACTCTACACGGTTGAACAAAAGATGCCAGGTAAGGAGAGTGAACTTCTATTTCTCCTTGAATGGTAATCATCAGATGACCAAAGCGAAGGAATTTTAACCATACCTATACATGTATCATGTTCATGCATATACAATAAACCATTTCTGCAACTGCACTCATAGCTACCCCATGTATTGTGACATTTGCACTCTGGGCACTGGCATGCTAGCTTCTCCTTGCACTCATCCACATCTGGTTAGCACATAAAACCATGTAAACATGTGACCTACTTCAGAAACACACAATTAACAAACATCCTATCAAGCTTGTCAATCCATGGACATATTATTGGAAAAAGATACAATATATTGTTTACTAGAATGTTGAAACAAGATTTTCATTCATCATGTTACATTATGCAAAATGCTAAAGCGTGTAGAGAACCACATCCACATTTACTCGATTCGAGGATTAAATTCCTCACCATCCTTGGATACTCATTTGACATGGTGGACCAAGAGGCTAAAACAATTGCAAGTTGAACAAATGCTGAACCATTCCTCGCCTACTTTAAAAATAATTAATAAATAAAGGTTGTGGATAAATAAAACTGCATTGAGTACCTTCGCACTTGTGGACTCCATCACCTTTAAATCCCGGAGGACACCTGCAGCCCTTTGTATGGTCATCGTCATCCTAACCAATCCATCAAAATACAATAAGAAGTAATTATAATGCTAGTTATTCTATTTTGTTCTAGTTCAGGAAAATTCAGAGCATCATATGGTACATAAGACCGGTAAACTTACAGAACATGCAGAGTAAGTTCTGCCATTTTGGGTGCCCTTCCAACAACCCCCATTATTGATTTCACAGCGTAAAGATCCTGAAGCTGTCAAAAATTAAGCATGCAGTCACTTGTGTTATTACTTTAGAAAAGAAAGTATCAGCAAAAAGCATATATGGCTGGTTTCTCTCCATTTGACGTTTTTTAAAGTCTATACTAATTCTTCTTTCTTTTTCTTATAAACAAAGGGTCCAATCATTCGTAATCATAGAAATTGAAAAATCACCAAAATATAAAAGGATACAAAAGCCCAAAGGGATTTTTTTTTTTTTAACATCCATGAGTGTCTGGGCCAGTTTACGTGTACCTCAACTAATCTCACGGGGCAACCGCTTGACCCTACAACATTTGGTACCAGGAAACACATAGGAATTACTAATTTCTAAGGTAGATGGTCATCATGGGATTTGAACCCATTCCCTCTTGGTTATCCTAGTCCCTTTGGACCAATCGGCCACCCATGATGGTTAAGCCTAAAGGGAATAATTAAAATGAGCAAAAACGAAAAACCAAACTTAAGAACCAAATAACATCCATTTGGGAAAGGTTCTCAGTTTTCTGAATAATGAAAAGTTCTCTGGAGAAGATGATGCTCCTACTAAAACATCCTTCAAAGTTCAACCAAGCCACCAAACTTAATTCTTGCTCCAAAATAGACGCAAACCCTCAACTCCAGCCCCTTCCAGGTGCCTTAACTCTGATTTCAGCTTCAAGTCTAGTGAAAAAAAAAATGATCATTTGCAGAGTCTCAGGATAACTTACCTTTACAATGAGTATAGCCATCACCAAGAAACTTCACGCCTCGAACAGTAGGACATTCACAAACTCTTCCCCGAAATGTATCCTAAATTGAATGTGCATCAGATATAATTTTTTAAAAATAGATATATAGGATTGGAAGGCCTTTTTTGTAGCTGGTTTTTTGTGGGATGGGTTGCCTCTACCCCTTGCCCTTAGGTTGTCTTCTTTTGTGCAGTTAATATATCCTTTTCGGTTTCTTATCAAAACAAAAAAAAAAGATATATAGGAACACACAGGCAGTTGCCTAGAAAATCAATACGAATGGATTCTTAAAAAATATTTATACCCTGCATGCAGAAATATTTGCATCCTTATCATGCCAGCAACCACCATTATTTGTCAAACACTCATTTGTTTCCACATCTGCAAATAACAGATAAATTAGAAAATAACAGACATCTCCATGACTTCATAGTTTACTTCAGACGATGTATTGAGTT